AAAAAGTGAGACATAAGAACCATTATGTATTAACAATTCTTCGGAAAAGGCAGGATGTTGCTTTGCTCGCTAGTGGATTGGCATACTTTGCATGCAGAAGGCTGGCCCTGGTCCAATCACTTTTATCTTCCAGTTTGCCTAGAATAAGACTTGCCTGACAAATTCACCCGAGGAGCACTGTGACTCTCAACTGTTCTAAGCTACACTGCTGCACGGCCAGCCTCACTAGGGAGGAAAATTCCTGACATGCTTTTGTGCTATTTCTGTCTATGTGTCTGTCAAAGAGAGAGAAAGAGATACAATAGTACAAGGGTGTCAAACTGGCAGCCGATGGGCTGGATATGTCACGTGCAGGCCATGCCCACCCCAGCTCCGTGTATGGGAAAAACATCACGAAATATCATGATGCCACGAGTTTGACATCCGTGCTGTAGTATAATGAGGTCAAGAGGGATTGCGATCCTGCTGTTTGCAACATTAACACATAAATAAGTGCACCAAGTGTTTATTTTTTTTTAATTTCAGCATTTCTGCTTCATTTTGACCATGCTATGTGTCTCAGTTTGATAAAAATCAAGGTCTGTTTAAGCACAACAGATGTATACAACAGTATATCAAAAACCTTCCTCCAATAACAAGTTAGAGTGTTCCTCATTTGTAGTAGAGTGTACACACCATTATCCTAAAAGTCCTTGTTGGCTTTCCCTAGCTTGCTTCTGCTTTCAGGAACTACAGTCACCTGACTTTCCTCAGAACAATGAATGACAAAGAATAACAGATCACAAAGCTGCCCTTGGATGAGGATGAAATAAGGGGGAAATAGTACTTTAACCACAATGCACTTAAAGGTACCTTAGGCCTGCCTTAATAATTGCCTAAAGACACAGCAAAAAAAAAAAAGATGCTGCTAGTGCCCACTTGGACTGTGATTAGGAGTAAGTGTGTCTATGCTTCATACATCTGCTCCCCCACTCCCCCCCACAAACACACTGCAAATCAGATGGATGGATGAATTTCTTTAGTAATCCAGGATGCAGACATCTCCTCTTCTCCAGTCTGTCTTTGACACACAAAGCATCTCCAGGATACAATCATTCTACACATCTCTTCTCTCACTGGAATTGAGTGACTTGTTTATTTTTGTCTTCACTCTCAACATTATTTTCGTATGCACTGATTCTGAAATTATGTTTAACTGCCCTCATTGGCTAATGTACATAAACATGTGTATATATCTTTCACCCACACATTATCTATGCAGTCTTCTTTTAAAGTCATCCAGCTATCGTCAATCTACTAACTGGTCAAATGATTATCCAGTCTATTTTTAAAAATATTCACTGAAAGTTTCCACCCATTATTACCATCTGGTGCTTTGGAGAATAAGTCAATCCCCATTTCTTTGTGATAGCCCCTCAAGTAATAAAGGAGCATCGTCATTAACATGCTCTTGATGTTATCCTTCTGTTGATGCAGCCCAGGACTGCATTGGCTTTTTTTTTTTATTTGATTTATATGCCACCCTTCTCCGGAGAGTCAGGGCGGCTTACAATGCACTAAGCAATAGCTTTCATTCTTTTGTATATTTATACAAAGTCAGCTTATTGCCCCCACAACTGGGTCCTCAATTTACCTACCTTAGAAATGATGGAAGGCTGAGTCAACCTTGAGCCTTGGAGAGATTCGAACCAGCAGTAATTGCAGGCATCTGGTCTTAATAACCAGCTTAATAACAGGGTGCCTTAGACCACTGTACTACCAAGGCTCTTATTTTTGCCAGGTGAGGCACATTGCTGGATCATACTTAAGTGGTGGACACCTAAATCTCTCTCACAGTACTGTTGAGCAAGGTACCATTTATTCTGTACCCATGTATCTGGTTTTTCCTATCTAATAGTGTAGGACCTTACTTTTCTTATCACTGAACAGCATCTTGTTGGATAGGGCCCAATGCTCAAGTCTTCAAGATCCTTCTGAATCTTGAGCCTATCTTCCAAAGTGTTAGCAATTCCCCTCAGCTTAGTGTCATCTGCAAATTTAATGAGTTCCCCCTTTATCTCCTCATCTAGATCATCTATGAAGATGTTGAAGAGCACAGGGTCCAAGACAGAACCATGAAGTACCCAACTATATGCTTCTCTCCATGTATATGTAGTTCCATTAAGGACTACATGCTGGATGTGGTTGGCCAGCCAGTTGTGAATCCATCTGGTGGTGATGTTGTCTATCCCACATTTTTCTATCTTATCAAGAAGTAGGTTGTAGTCTACTTTGTCAAATGCCTTACTGAAGCCCAAGTATACTATGTCCATAGCATTTTGCTGTTCTATTAATTTAGTCACTTTATTAAAGAAGGATATAAGATTTGTCTGCCATAATCTGTTTTTAATAAACCCCTGCTGGCTTGTTCATTCTAGGTGGTCACAAATCCACTGCTTGATTATCTTTTCCAGAATTTTCCCAGGTATTAATGTCAAGCTGATTGGCATTGGCATCAGTTATCCTTTTTACATTACTGTACAAATTGATCTCTTCTCCCTCATTCCTCCCATTTCCCTTCACATAATCTAATATAACTCAAGACTAGCTTATTAATAATCAGGCAGGTAGTCTGCTGCTTCATTCATATAATTTATATAGATGGGCAAACTCTTTCTCTGCATGAGCTTGCTCCTTTGAACCTTTCCCACATCCTCCCAACTACAGTAAAAGCTGGAAAGTCTATTTTGAGATGTGTGACACAGAATACAAAAGGACTTTGTTCTTGACAAAATGGCACCACTGTATCAGTCTGAACTTTCCCCACATCTCCACATCAACCCAAATGGATTGCCACTAGTTAAGAAACGAAGAGATCTTTCATCAGGATATGTTCAACAAACCTATTAATGATTTCAGTAACAGATACAATTGGAAAATGCTATCCCTGTTATCTCCCATGGCTCTTAAGTTGGGTGCATTGGGGTATAAAAGCAATCTACCCTGGATTTCAATGTTGTGCACTTCCTTGGAGAGATCGGTAAAAACATAGCACAGACAGGAAGGAATGGCATTGGCTCAAACTCTTGTGTCAAGATGCACATATTTAAAAATGATATGTTTAAAATGCATATAGGCTGCATGTTAGAGAAAATGACTTTCTGTACATTAGGGAGGTTTTCTACAAAAAAGTTGCATCCAGTATTTCATGTATAACAAACCATAACAAATGTGGATATTTTTTCTCTGTTTCTAATGTATAAATGATTTCCTCCTTAGAAGATATTCTCTCTTTCTTGGTCTCACATGTGATTTCCTTCCTTCTGTCAATCAACTTTGAGCAGGATTGCATGATTTTTCAATGCAGTGATTAGTGTGTGTAGTTCCTTTGTAAATCAGCATGCTTCCAGACTGAGATAACTAATGGGAACGATAAAGAAACTGCAGTTGGCAACCAGTGCTTAGTAGTTCCAGCTGAAATAACTTCTCATTTAGATAATCCTACTTTTCATCATCCCCCTTCTACAGCCAGCCCAAATATTTATATTTCAACAACTGCCAACTTCTCACAAATATAATTAAACTCTACATCTTTGACATCCACTTAGAATTAAAAATTAAGACAACATAGCAAAATGATGATAAAAACATATATCACAATTACATAATAGAATTGTAAACGATTTAGAAATGTTATCAAAATTATTTCTTTTCACTGCAACAAGCAGTTATTTATGAGTTTATGGCACAAGAGAAATTAGCAAACATTTCTAAAAAAAAAAAAAGCACGCTCGACAGTAAGAAGTGTATTTTTAGATGCTTTTGAAAATGATGGAATGAATGTATTTGAATTCATTTCAGAAGCTGTCCCTTCCATCATATGATGTTAGGAAACTCATCTATTTTCACTTTTAAATTCTCCTCACTTTAGAGGGAACTCTGAGACTGGAAATTTACTTTGAATAGCCCAACTGATTGGAGCTCGAAGCAGTCAACGGGACAATCCATCCCAAAGCTTTCTTTTCGCAGAGTAATTTACAGCAAGAAGAGAATAATTTTGTTGTGCATATTGTTCCATAATTGAGAATCAGAAATTCTTGCAAGTCTGTTGAAAATCACCTAGAGATCTACTGATGATAGACCCAGATCTGCTTTCTGCCTACCCTTGCTCAAAATTAAAACAAAGAGATTCAGAATAAGTTAGCTGGTGCTAACCACTTCTACCACTAACATTTTAATTCTCAAGATTGCAGAAGAGAGCTTATATTTCTGTGTGCTCTAAAGTAGCACAAGTGTTCTGCTCAAAAATTTGCCCATTTGTTGATATCATTACATCAAAGCTGTCAAATGTCTGAGATGCACTGTCTCCTCTTACCTTCCTCCTACTGTAGTTTTCAAAGGGCCTTCTCATTATTCCCTTCTACTTTCTTCTATGAAAGGAAGATGGCAGTAGAAAATATGGATGTGCAACCTACTAAACAGATCCATTATTCTCTGTCTTGGAATCAGCATTATGGCCAAGTTCAAGGACACCCTGCCAGGAAATTCTCTTAACATGCATCTTCATTGCTGCTAATTTATAACAACTGCTATAACAGATGATGTGCTTCCCAGTAATCCACAGCAAGGTAGTCTGTAAGCCTTTCTTAGGAATCCAAAATATTTCCCATAATTTGTAACATGTACCTGCAGATGTACTTTTCCAAAGAACACTAGTGGCTTGTTCCCTCCCTCCCTTCTTTCCATTTGGGTGGGGAAAAATACTTTTCTCCTGCCTAAACTATGACTTCTGACTTTGGGAACTTTGCTTGGTCAAAAGTTTGCTCACCAGGGTACATGGATTATAATCCCATGGAGTTTGAGGAAATTATGTTTCCTGAAAGGATCTGCTGTACTATTTACCCACAAAATGACAAGCTAAATGCAGGAGCCAGTTCAGAAATTAACTATCTGCCTTACTTCCTATTTAAAAAAAAAAAAGGCATGCATCAATTGGAGATAGGGAAAAGGTATTACGTTACCTGTGCAGAGAAGAGGAGGAATAAAAAAACCCAGCTGTAAGTGATAGTCAGGAGGATTACTTTCTCTCTTTCTCTCTCTCTTTGGCGGTGCCCTTTCTAAGTTGTCTCTTTCAGCTGCTGAATTTCTACCGGCAGAGAAGGAAATTCTCCAGGCTGATAGCAAGAGTGATAGCTGCCTCCAATTCTATTCCTACTTCCCTCCCACTTCTCCCCCACCCCCACATGTTATCAAAGCAGCCAATGAGTTGGCTGGCTGATTTTTGCATATGTGAGTCAAGGAAGGAGTGGGCAGAATGAGAATTTTCAAGGGCTGCATTCTCTGTTGCCTTTCCAAGGAAGTGATGTCTGTAGGATCCACCATCATACGAGGCCAGAAAAATCTGCCTAAAATCCCAGAACAACACACTCACAAGAGCAGCTTCTTGTCAAGTATTACACGATGCGCATAGTTGAGAAACAGCAAAAAGACACCCAGTTTGCCCAAAGGCAGGGCCATCTCTTGTCAGACAGTAATGCACATAATGGAGTCGACCAGGATTTTCTTTGCTTGACAAGTATAGCAGGTTGTGGTAAGAATAATATAAAAGAAAAAGCTCCTGTTCCTGGGCCCTTACGAATAATTCATCAAAAGGGATGTTCAAAGAAAACAGATTTGTTTTCCAAAACAACTTAGAGCACAGGTATTGAGCAATGGAAACAGTGATGTATAGGACATGTGGGCAAGCTTTTTCTCTGTTTGCATGCAGAAATATTACTCAAAGGGAAAAAAGAAAATGAACTTTTCTCAGTAATTCTAAACTGAATTATTTTTGTTAGAAAGGAAATTAAAGCTGCAAAACATGATTCAGAAGTCTCATCTGATGTGTAGAATATTCCTGCTTGCATCCAGAGATTTACTAATATAACTCAATGGGTTAAAAGAAAGTGAACTTTCACATTAGTTCTAAGTTGAATTATTTCTGTTAGAAAGTAAATTAGGATTTCTTTTCTTTTCTTTTATTCATTACATTTCTACACCGACCATCTCACCCAGTGGTGGGTTTCAAATAATTTCATCACTGGATTGCAGAAAATGTGAGTGTGCACGTGTGTATGTAGCTTCCGCGCATACGCACGCGGGCAGCTTCCCCCACATGGCAAGGCTCGACAGAGCAGCCTTTTGGGGCCTGCTCCCCTTCATATCTGCTCTCCGGGGCAGCGGCTGCTTCTCTCCGCACTGCTGGGAGAGCATCTTGTGCAATTTAGCAGCTGTGAGCTGCCGCTTTCCTCTAAGTCCCATCCAGAAAGGGCTGCGGCTGAGAGAAGCAGCATTTAACATGGCTGCTGCTTCTCTGTGCTACAGCATTTTCTGGATGGGACTTAGAGGAAAGTGGTGGGTCACAGCTGCTAAATTGCACAAGACACTCTCCCAGCAAGAACAGCAGCAGAGAGAAGTAGTTGCTGACCCAGAGAGCACATGGAGCATCTCCGCGAGCGACCGAAACTCGGCAAGAACCGTCTGGTCCATTCCCAAACTGCTTCGGCCCTCCTGCGCCCACGCTGCCCCCCTGCGGCCCTTCGGCTGAGTGCCTTCACAGGCAGCCACAGTGAGCAGAACAGGCGAGGCATGGATATCATCTGGGCCGCATGGCTGGTGTGGTAGGCTGCGACGAAGGCAGGCAAGCTGGCAGGGCCATGTGGGATGGTGGGAGGCAGCTAGCTAGGCCGCAACTCACAGGCTTACTCAGGCCGATCATGGCTGCTCAGTTGGGCCACAGGTACTGCATTGGAAGGCAGGCAAGCTTGCTGACCCGCGGAGATTGTGTGGTCAACAGTATGTGAGGAGCCAAACAGAAGCAACAGCTATGCCGGGGAGGCGAGATGAGAAGTGACTGGGTGGGGTGGCTGGGCGGGATGAGTGGTGAATGGGCGGGGTGGGTGGGCAGGACAAGCGGCAAGTGAGCAGGTGGGGCAAGCGGGTTAGCGGGGGGGCAGGGGTGAGTGGCGAATAGGCAGGCAAGGGCAGGGCCAGCCAGTGGTGGAATTTGCCGGTTCTCCGAACTGCTCAAAATTTTCACTATTGGTTCGCCTGAACTGGTGCGAACTGGCTGAATACCACCTCTGATCTCACCTAAGTGACTCTTATATGGTCCAGAAATCTCATCTGTCTCTCTGAAAACAAGACAATGACAAGCAAGAAATGCACCCACACTATTTCCCCCTTGATCTACCCCATGACATGGTGGATTAATCAGAATTCTTAGATTTTCTCCACGTGTGGTCTGTCAAAAAGTAGAATGTGGCATGGAAAATATGCTGCAGGAGAATCAGTTCTCAGGTATCTTTTCATTGGGATAATGCATATTTTAACAATTCATATAAAAAGCAGATTTTTAAAAACAGTGGCGAAATGACACAACTATTACATTCAATATTCCCTTTTATGTCTGCAATTACATGATATGAACAGGGAGTATTTGAATTTGGGCAGCACCCTCATGTGGGGTGGAACAGAACTTCACTCGCTTGTCTCTGAAACAATTGCAGGCTCTGGGTTGACTCTGTTCATCCAGGAACACCAATAAGTCCTCTTGGACAGGAAGAGGCCCAAGAGAGTTTTCTGTGCCAGCAAATCCTGACTTAAGTAAGAGGTTCCTCCTGGGCTTTCATGCGTTCTTGTCTGCTTTTGGTCTTGGCTGGTCTCATACTGTTGTTGGTGCTCAACCTCTTGGCTTTCCTCGTGCTACTGAATTAACTCGGCCTTGGTGGTGCAGCGGACTATGTGCTGTTATGTAGCACTTAGCTGCCAGCTGCCTGCAATTAGTGCGAGTTCAAATCTCACCAGGCTCAAGGTTGACTCAGCCTTCTATCCTTCCGAGGTAGGTAAATTGAGGACCCGGATTGTGGGGGCAATAAGCTGACTTTGTAGAAATACCGCTTATGGGGGGCCAAAAAAGTCCTAATAAACAGGTATATACAAAAGAATGAAGACTATTGCTGTAAGTGCATTGTAAGCCGCCCTGAGTCTTCGGAGGAGGGCAGCATATAAATTGAACTAATAAATAAATAAATAATAAACTCTGACACTTAAGGGAATCCCAAACTGTGACAGAAATGGCTTATAATTTAAAAAACTGTTTTTTTTCCTACAAAATAAACCAGCCTTTCCCAGTCTGGTGTTCTTCAGGTGTTTGTGATTGTAATTTGGAGAACTCCCAAATTTTGGATGTTGTAGTCCTCTACACCACAGAAAGCCAGTTTGGGAAGACTGAAATTTGTTCTTATTTCATGCAGTGCCAGGTACTATTTGCAGATAAGGCTGATTATCAATGTCTAGGCTGTTTTTTATAGCATAGATATTAACTGGTGATAACGCTTTCTTCATTGCCAGGCAATGGAATGTATTAGTAAGTTGGTAAAGCCAAGGTCCAAAGGTTTGTTCCCAGTGGCTGTTACTTGATCTTCATGTTTGAGTGAGCTACTGAGTTCTTTTTCTGGTTTTAGCCCTTTTGCTTTAATTCCCATGACTTGTTTAGCATTTTAATGTTAATTCCTGATGTTGGAGTCAAGTTCAGGCATAAGTTTAGAGCAGTAGTGGGTTTCAATTTAGTTTGCTACCGGTTTTCTTTTGTGTGCGCACACGCTCACATGCAGGGAAGCCGCTTCTGCACATGCACAGAAGCATCTGGGTGGGTGCTCCCGCCGCCACCGCTACCGGTTTGCCTGATCCGGGGAGAACCGGTAGCAATCCACCACTGGTTTAGAGCCTCACAATCTGAAAGGTTAGGGCAGTGTTTCTCAACCTTGGTAGCTTGAAGATGGGTGGACTTCAACTCCCAGAATCCCCCAGCCAGCACTGCTGGCTGGGGGATTCTGGGAGTTGAAGTCCACCCATCTTCAAGCTACCAAGGTTGAGAAATACTGGGTTAGGGGTTTTTCCCCCCCACTTGTTAAGATTTTATTATACAGGCAGTCCTTGACCTACAACCACAATTGAGTCCAAAATTTCTGTGGTTAAACAAAACAGTTGTTAAATGAGTTTTGCCCCATTTTATGACTTTTTGGGCACAGTTATTAAGTGAATTGCTACAGGTGTTAAGTCAGTCACATGGTTGTTAAATGAATGTGGCTTCCGAATGACTTTTGTTTGTCAGAAGGTCACCAAAGGTGATCACATGACCCTGGGACACTGCAACTGTCATAAATATGAACCAGTTGCCAAGTGGCTGAATTTTAATCATGTGACCATGGGGATGCTGCAATGGTCATAAGTGTGAAAAACGGTTATAGGTATCTTTTCTCAGTGTTGTTGTAACTTTGAATGGTCACTAAACGAATGGTTGTAAGTGGAAGACTACCTGCAATTTCCTATTTTATTTTTTTTTAAAATGTATTGATAACACTTTCTGCACAGCGTCCATGACCCTCATTAACTGATTCTGGTCTGCTTTGCTTTTGCATGCATTCACACCTTCTGTTCAAAGATGCCTTTCCCTTATTGTGCATCTTAGCACCAATGTAATAGTGTTGCTAATTTCAAAAACATTTAAAAAAATTAAGATGTTGTCTTAAGATTTAAACATTTTTAAATTGCTAGTGTTTTATAATTCAGCTGGTTATTGGAATGTGGTTGTTTTATCATTCTATATATGTGGTGTTTGTTTATATGTTTTCATGCTTAGTTTATCACAAGTTAATTTCCCTGAAACAAGCAGAGATAAAAAGATGGTCACTTCTTTCATAATATGGCACTGAGCCTAGAATTAATTCCAAGGCAGTCACACTATGGCGGAGTATTAATTTTAATGTAATGAAGAAGGAAATCCCTCTTTTCGCTACAATTACTGGCTAAGTTTATAATTTTTATTGATTGTCTGGTTTTATGTTTTTTCTTGTGGAGCATTCTAATTGTAGACAGACTTGGCGTTATTTATATTATAAATTGTTCCAGACTCAGGAGTAAACAAATTTAATAAACAAACAATTCAGAAGAGGATTTTATCTGATTATGGGAGGGAGAATGTCTATTCAGAATTTTTTGTCCAAGGGTAGAACTAATTTACTCAAAGACGTAAAGCAGGTACTCAAAGATGATGTGCAATCCTTGTAATGCCTTTCTTTGGCTTTAATCAGAGCTATGTCCTT